GCCTGTGTCCCTCCAGGCCGTGTCCCTCCAGGCCCTTTCCCTCCAGGCCGTGTCTCTCCAGGCCGGGTCCCTCCAGGCTGGGTCCCTCCAGGCCGGGTCCCTCCAGGGCGGGTTCATGCACCTGGGCCTTCACAGAGCTAGTCCCACCCTTCAGAGCCTCGGACTTTCTTCAGCACTTTCCCCAAAGTCACCTTCTCCTTCTGCATGGACAGCATTGACTCACCGGAGGCCAAGCCGGCAGTCATAGCCGCCGGGGTACTCCGCTCACCGTCTGTGCAGTCCTCTCGGTCTGCACAGCGTGGCCAGTGTGCAGACTGCCACCTCCTGAGCGGGAGGCCCTCACGCTGTAACCTGTCACCTCCTAACTCGCCCGCCCTCCCTCCGTGCCAGGACGGCCCTCAGCTCCATCGGCCCTGCTCGGTCCACCTCAGGCCCTGGGCTCGGTCTCAGGGCTCCGTGCGCACGCTGCCCTCGCCACACCTGCTGACGCGGTGGCCTCCCGTGACGACCCCAGTTCACATTCTAGACTGCAGTCCATTCTGAATGTCCTTTCCTCTCCCCATCCTCGCTGTTACCCTGAATATCCCACAATCTCACATTCTTGGCAAGTTTTTCTCCTTTAAATGTTTCTGGGGCTCACTGACAGGGGGCCACTGTGCAAGTCGTTCCAAAAACCAAGTGGGGCCCCACTGATTCTCATTTTTGAGGGAAAGTGTCTGGGTTTAAAAAATGAGTTGAAGGGTGTGACGGAGCCCGGCGGCGAGGGACTGAGTCTCAGGAGAGGTAATGTGTGAACGCCAAGTGAACGGAGACAGGCGTGGCTGTTCCCATTGGGGAGTATTTGTGCCTTGAAGATAACAAATAGAGTTCTTAGGAAGTAGGCAGTAGGAAATAGGTGTTCAGAGAGCAGTTTCACTGAGTCCCAGAGAGAAGGCCTCTCCCACCAGACACGTCCTGCGATGCCCCTTCCCCTGAGACCTGCCCTCGGCCGTCGCAGGGCCCGGGCCAGGGGCACTCTGCAGCTGGCAGCCTTTTCCCGCTCCCGGGCCTGGCTTCTGGCTGCCATGGGAGCTTTGGCGAGTTAACCTCTCAGTCTCAATGTTCTCCTTTATAGAATGGGCACAGCAGCAAAAATAACAAGGAGACACTGTGGCCACAGGAGGGTGTGCTGCCGGGGGGCTGCGTGGGGATGCCTGCTGCACTCCACAGGGGCCAGGGCTGAGCCGCAGGCCTGCCTCTGTGAGCCCACACGCACACCCTCTGCTCCCGCTCGCCTGTGCAGGGCAGTGGAGAGAAACGCACCGTTTCTGCCACAATGTCCCACGGCTGACCCGTGGCCGCCCGCTCGCCTCCATGCCCCGTGGGGGGCCCTGGAGGCAGCAGCTTTGCCGGCCGCGGTGCCCCTGCCGGACAGCACCTTCTGGGAGTGTTTGACTTCTGCTGCTCCGGCCTCTGATGCTCGCCTGAGTGCAGTGACAGGTTCATTCGGCTGTAAACCATCCTACATCGTCTATGAGCTTTGAGAGCAGAGGGGGAGGCACAGCGTTGCTCAGCTCACACCATGACAGAAGGACTGGGAGAGGATTGCTAGTTTATGCCATCCTTTTATTTATTTACTTTTTTAATGTTTGTTTGTCTATTTCAGAGAGGAAGGAGAGGGAGAGATAGAAACATCAATGATGAGAGAGAATCATTCATCAGCTGCCTCCTGCACGCCCACACTACAGATCGAGCCCACAACCTGGGCATGTGCCCTGACCGGGAATAAAACCTTGACCTTCTGGTTCATAGGCCGACGCTCAATCACTGAGCCATGCTGGCTGGACATCCATTTATTTTTAAGGTGTAACGTTTTGAACATCATCCCAACCATCTCTTAGATTCTTGAAATCATAGGAAAACTGACTAAGGCGGGGGCATCAGGGGAGACACTCACTAGGCAGCGCTCCCAGCAGCTGCTCAGAAGGCGCCTTCCCGGCTGCGGCCACACTGCCCGCCACCCTCCTCCTACAGAGCTCGGCCCTGCCGTTCGGCCAGTCCGCCTGTCCTTCCTCCCTCCCAGGACCTCAGAGAAGAAGGGTCATCCCTCTTGGGGGAAATTTATCAAGTTTTCGTAACACGTTCTCTTTCACAGGGTGCCTTGAGCCCCGGCTGCTGCGCCTCTGGGCCGCGGGCAGGACACGGCCTTCGTATCTGGACGCTGTCTGTGTTGCCATAGCCAACGTGCCCCTGGGTGGCGGTGCGCAAGCTGCAGGGAACTGAAGCCCCTCCGTATGCCTAGTTATCTGTTTTTCCCCAACTGTGAACTTAGCCAGCCTTTAAATTTTTTAAATTAAAACATTTCCTTTATCAAGGGAGATAAACTCCGCCCCCCCCCCAAAAAAAAAACCCCAAAACACCAAACATGTAAAAACCCAGGGTGCTAGAAATACAAATCAATTCATTCAAATTCAAGCTCCCCAGACACTGGTCACAAACCCTCGTGAGGTGCCTGTGAGCACAAAGTCAGGGAGAGGGGCCAGGAGCGAGGCCACGGCAACAAGTGGGAAAGGCCCTCCTAGGCCCCTAGTGGTCACCCTCACTCCTTCCCAGTGACAGTGCAGACCTACCCGGCCCTGGCCTTTGACCCCCACCCACCCCTGGCCAGGGCTTTGAAGGCCAGTGGTTCTACCCTCTCCTGCTCCATCCTCACTTGTTCAGGCTTCCAGCCCACTCTCCTCCTCCTCCCCACTCTTCTCCATGATGGTAGCAGGTGGGGTACGGTACCGGCCGCGGGAGGCTGGGGCCAGGGGAGGCAGGGTGAAGGCGGGAGAAGAGCTGTCCAAGCTCCCTGTCTTCATGGGACCTGAACGGTATGAGCAGCGCCTCTCTTGCGTCCACGCGGGTCTGAGGACGAGCACTGCAGGCCGGAGCAGCCCTCCTGGAGGCTGCAGGTGGGAGACAAGGTGGGCTCGCTCGCAGCGCCTGGTGGGCTGACTGGGGGAGATGGCAGCGGCGGCAGCTTCTTCCAATGGGCCAGGCTGCTGCTCAGCACAGGCACGCGGGTGCCGTCCGCCGAGCCGGCCCAGGCACTCACGCTGCTCCATGCCCTGGGAATCTGCGGCGGACGCGGCGATGCTGCTGGCTGTCCTGGCGACAGTGGAGAGCGGGACCTGCGCATCTGTGCGAGCAGAAGGCTGTGCAGTGGGCTCAGCTCCATGGAGGGCTTTGGTGGGGGCCGGGGGGTCTAGGAGGGTCCAGCAGCAGCTTCCGCTCCTCTCGGTCCTGGTCCGAGTCCTGTAGCAGCACCCCATGGCAGGCTGCGTGTGCAGGGACCTACATTTTTTTCATTTAACATAGAAACCTAACTTTACACTGTATCCCCATTATAGCTCATGTTGTTAGTCATTCCATCCATTCCAGACGGTTAAATGCTTTTGGGTTCTGATTCCCATCCAATATCTAAGCCCCCCTGTGCTTAGCAACATTGGCAAGAGATGAATTTGCCTCTGGGCCCCACCCAGTCACTAATAAAATACTGACGAGAGAAGGCCGAGGCCAAGGCCAGGAACTCATTTCTCTAAGAACCAGGAGATTTCAGAGAGAAAAGTGGTCATTGTGGCCAGGAGGACAAAGTGGATGGCACAGGTGTGGCTGGCCCTGCCTTTCCGTCAAAGGACTACTTTGCTAAAACATGAAAGTGCAGGAAGTTTGACATAAAAACCAGGCTTTTACGCGAGTGGAACCGTGCCAACACTGCAGACCCTTCAAACGAAGTGCTACACCTGGCTCTTCGGAAGGGCCCCCTGAGGGACAGGTGGTCGTGAGGGCTGGCCGCCGCGCACTGCTCTGTGACACCTCAAGTCCCTTGACCGACTTCTGGAGGAGAGAGGGTGGTGGGGAAGAGACAGTTCTGAGGGCGGAGCTATGGGCGCCGCTGTGCCTGACCAACAGCACCCACAGCTGCCGGACAACACGCAGCCTGTGCCCGACCAACAGCACCCACAGCTGCCGGACAACACGCAGCCCGTGCCCGACCAACAGCACCCACAGCTGCCGGACAACACGCAGCCCGTGCCTGACCAGCACCCACAGCTGCCGGACAACACGCAGCCCGTGCCTGACCAACAGCACCCACAGCTGCCGGACAACACACAGCCCGTGCCTGACCAACAGCACCCACAGCTGCCGGACAACACGCAGCCTGTGCCCGACCAACAGCACCCACAGCTGCCGGACAACACGCAGCCCGTGCCTGACCAACAGCACCCACAGCTGCCGGACAACAGGCAGCCCGTGCCTGACAGCCCCGACAAATCGCCTGATGGTCGGTCTCTTCATCCCCTTACCCAGGAGGTTTTCTTCTGGGCTTGTGCATTACAAAGAGTTCTGAACTAGGACTAGTACTTATATTCATTGACAAATCATAAAAACACAAGTCATTACATAGACTCAGACCGTGTATGCTGAAATGTGATAACTGATATGTTCTTTGAAATTTTGGAAACTAAATAAAAACAATCTCATTAGGTTACTTCCCTAGATGACTACCCTAGAACTGTTAAGATTTACAATAACATTTAAAAAATGACTTCATCCCTAGTCTTTAATTCACCCTTTTAAAAAACCTCTAATTAATAAAGTGGGTCAGCGACTCAACTATTCACACCCATGTGTCATACTTAAAGAGAGATGACTAAAGACAAGCAGATGCCAAAAATATTGGATTTTTTTCTAGTTAAAAAAATATGAAGAAAACTTAACTTTAAAGAAAAACAGATAATGGGGAGCAAACTGCCAAGCAGTCTCAAATGCAACAAAACTCACGGTTACTTTCCCCCTCTCTTTGATGTTCATTTATAGCCGGGGCCAAATTAGAAGAAAAACAAATTATTTGCTGAACTTACACTTCAGTTTTCCCTTACTCAGGGGGAAAAGCACCCCTAAATAAGTAAAATGCAGAATACTTAATACCTAAATGGTTTTTCTTTACCCCCAAATCAAGTGCAACCGAGCAGAAATTCTGTGTTTGTCACCAATCCTTTATTGAAACTGGTAACTTCCACACTTTCTAATAGAACAAAAAAAATAATGTTCAGTATATACAGTCTTTTCATGGACTATTTGACTATACACAAGGCAGGGTGATAACACAATCTAATCTTCATAATAATTTGTGCAGAAAAAGAGACCTGACAGACAATGTGTGAACAGTACAGTGAAATGACATCACAGGTCCAGTGAAACGCAGCCTGACACAAAACGCACGCATGGCGGCCAGTGGCGCCCCCCGGGAGAGGCTGGTCAGTAGTAATTCACCCCGAGTCGGACGCAGAGATCTGGTGTGCGGCGATAAGTCTCTTCAGCGAGACCACCTCTGCAGACAGGTTTGCGATGCCCTGCTTCAAAAACAAGTTCTCTGGGTCGGGCACTTTGTAGCCATTGTCTTTCATTTCAGCAACTCCAGTCTTGAAACTGTTCTGAGTTTTGCCCGTAAGTTCTTTCTGATGCCAGTGTTCCGACCGGAGAGACCAGTCTTGGATGTTAGTCACCTGCACTGAGAAAGGAGTGAGGGGGGGATGGCCCGCACTTGGGGCACTGAGCTTCTCCAGTCCGAAATGCCTCTTGGCCGTCGTGCCAACGGCCGAGGGAAGTTTGTGAGTGGCCTCAAAGTCAGTGTCGAGCGCCTCTACTTTGATCTGCATGGCTTTGGCTTTAATGCGGAGCTTGTGTGGCAAAGCAGAGGAGTTCGCTTCCGGGACTTTAACCACCGTGGCATGTCCATGCTGCAGCTCGAGGGGCGAGTGCATCGGGCCTTTGGGAACCTGCTGCTCATCTTCTCCGTCCGAGGACTTTCCCACGGCACCATCATCGGTTTCCGACGTTCTCGGGGAGTTGCTGGAGGACCGGCTGGCCGGCAGGAGAGGCGGGGAGTGTGAGTAGGCAGGGAAAGAGCTGCCCACGTAGTTCTGATACGCGGCCGCCCGGTAGGCGCCGGGGTCGTCCCGGGGCTCCCGGGCGTAGCCCTCCAGTTCCACCGGCTCCTGCTTGATGGCCTGCAGCTTGCCGGCAGGACTCGGGCAGCCGCTCCGGCTCTGCGCGCCCTCCCGCGCCGGCTCCAGGGAGCCCTCGGCGCCCTCGGCCCGCGCGCCCGGCGGCGAGTGCCTGATGACCGAGATGCAGCTGCTGGCCGCCGGCTCGTCCGCGAAGGCCCCGCCGGGCGCCGCGGCCGGGTAGTCTTGGAAGTAGACGGCCGCGGAATTCCTGAGCTTCTGGATCTCTTGGGCATACGCTGTGGAGCTAATTAAACCAAACTTCAATTTTAGGGAAAGCAGTTCAGCTTTCAAAGTGGCGTTTTCTTCTCCCAGTGCAATTAGTTTGTTCTCCAGCACCAGGTCATTCAGCCGGCGCTTCTCCCGGGACCTCTTGGCAGCTTCGTTATTCTTCCGCCTTTTCTCCCAATACATGGCGTCTTTCTTTTCATCGGGGATGAACTCCCGCTTCCGCCGGCACGCGGAGGACTTGCCTTTCCCCACACTCCCTTCACCCAGAAGCAGCTCCTCTCCTGTCGACAAGTCTTCGGAGACGTCAGTTAAGGCCGAACTGAGCACCATCACCTTGTCCGCGCTGCAGCCGGGGTCCAGCGAGGCCTGCTCCTTCTTGACGGCCTGCATCTTCCTCAGCTGCATGGGAGGCGCGCCCTCGCGGTGCCGCCGTCCCCGGCGCTCTCAAATGCTGTGCGGCCCGCGCCTCAACATCCATCCATGTCCCTCCTCCTGTCTGCCTGCCCTGCCCGGGACAGTCTCCTGCTCTCCCGCCGAGTGGAGTGGGGTCTTCTAGGTGACCTGCAACACAGGAGAAGAAACAGTTATCCATTTGGTGACTATACCAGCAATTGTGGACAGGAACTGTGCCAAGCATTTAGGGCATACAGGTCGGAACAAGACGCCGTTTTCCTTCAGAGTCTGCATTCTTAAAAAGGAAGTGCCCCAATTCCGAGACTGTAAGGTTGTCAAGGACAAATCCTCAAGGAGACCTGGGGCGGAGCACTCAGTGCGAGGTACCCGGAGTGAGAGAAAACCCCGAGGATGCGGGGATGAGGGGATGCGGGGATGTGGAGGATGTGGGGATGTGGAGGATGCTGGGATGTGGGGATGTGGAGGATGCTGGGATGCGGGGATGTGGAGGATGCTGGGATTCGGGGATGTGGAGGATGCTGGGATGCGGGGATGTGGAGGATGTGGGGATGCGGGGATATGAAGGATGGGGGGATGCAGGAATGTGGGGATGTGGAGGATGGGGGATGCGGGGATGCGGGGATGTGGAGGATGCTGGGATGTGGAGGATGCTGGGATGCGGGGATGTGAAGGATCGGGGATGTGGAGGATGGGGGATGCAGGGATGCGGGGATGTGGAGGATGCTGGGATGTGGGGATGTGGAGGATGTGGGGATGCAGGGATGCGGGGATGTGGAGAATGCGGGGGTGTGGAAGATGGGAGGATGCGGGGGTGTGGAGGATGGGAGGATGTGGGGATGTGGAGGATGCGGGGGTGTGGAGGATGGATGTGGAGGATGGGAGGATGCGGGGGTGTGGAGGATGGGAGGATGCGGGGATGTGGAGGATGGGAGGATGCCGGGATGTGGAGGATGGGAGGATGAGGGTATGTGGAGGATGGGAGGATGCGGGGGTGTGGAGGATGGGAGGATGTGGGGATGTGGAGGATGAGGGAATGGGAGGATGCGGGGATGTGGAGGATGGGAGGATGAGGGGGTGTGGAGGATGGGAGGAAGGTTGTTCCAGGAGCAGGAAAGGTGGGGTGGGGTGGGCGTGTGGGGATGGCACTTCGCAGGAAGGAATTGGCGGCACCTCTGCTTGGTAGTTTTACAGCCCTTGCACATTGTGGTGTTTAGAAAATGTGACATAACATTTATATCACTGAGAAGCAAGCAAGCCTACTTCTTAAGAGTAACTTTTCCAAGTAAACTCCTTTATTATCATAAACAAGTCCTATCATTATATGGAATAAAATTCAAATAGAGCTAAATGCTTATTTCCCCTAAACTAAATAAAATCACACAAACAACCAACTTGTAGTTGTTTTAGTCTGACTCTTACATGGACACACACCTGTCTCTCCCCCGCCTGCCAGGTGCACAGCACACGCAGTGCCAAGCAGCTCCTCCGACGCTCCCGCACTGTGAGCTGGGCAAGTGCCTTTCTCTGGTTCCTTCTAACTGATTTATCAAACGTCCACTTAAGAGTGAAGCACCCCAAGTGCTTTTTCTAGTCCTGAAAATTCTGTCAAAATAGGTTTCATTTATGTAGTAGCTTTGGACTAAAATAAATCGTGACTAATCAGAGGTGTGTTTTTTCTTTTAAGTACAGTAGGATTCTTGAAACTTAAGATTATGTTAGGCCTTGGCCCGACAGCTCAGTGGTTAGAGCATCGTCCTGATATGCCAAGGTTGTGGGTTCGATCCCCTGCCAGGGCACATGTAAGTGGCAACCAATGAATGCATGAATAAGTGGAACAACACATCTGATGTTTCTTTCCCTCACTCTTTCCTGCCCCCTTCCCCTCCCCCCCCTTTTCTCATATCTCAAATCAATAAAAATAAAAATAAATATTTTAAACTGAAAGAATGTAATTATGAAAAGAATTTCTTTTCACTTTACTAATTACTTTCAAACAAAATATAAAAACTCAAAAACAAAACCATCAATTAGCTTCCCCTTGCACTGATGAAATATTTACAACCTGAATCTGACTTGCCATGAGATAATAAACCCATTTAGGCTCCATAGCGGGCTTTTGGTGGTGGTTTCTGGACCTGTGATTCCGGACAGGTTTCTCCACCTCATTTTCCAGAAGGTAACCCTCCTAAAGGAGACGCAGCGCCCGCCGGCTGCCCGCATCCCTCCGGCCACCCTGGTGAGGGGCCTGTTTCTGCTCAGAGCCGCCCCTTCTCTGCTGTGCATAGCTTTCTGATGACTAATGAGATGAAGCTTAATTTCATCAGCTGGAAAAGCCTGCCACCTTCTTGTGTCGTTTCCAGAAGCAATAGAAGGAATGATGCAATAATTTCAGGATCGTAAAAATAAGGTTTAATGCCACATTCTTGTCTATCAAATTGAGCCAACACGAAAACAGTGAACTGCACCTTAGCGCAATTTGGGATTAATACCAAGTTTCTGAAAACCCAACTTTAATGGAAAATGTGGGCAAGGAGCCGCGGCGGCAGTGAGGGCACGTAGAGGGGCCTTTCTGGTTACACTTTAGTGGCACAGCACCATTCCCACTAGGTTCTGTCTTCTGACACAGAAACGGCTTTTCCCCTGCGTGGAATGGTTTCTTTCCTCTAAGGATCCAGGTAAAGTCCCCTAGAGTCCTGGCCGAGGCAGAGAGAAAGCAGCCCTACTCCCGTTTACCGAAAATACCCCGCTTGTCTCAAAATCTCGTAACCCCTTTCTTCCCAGGGTCTGCGTGCTGCCCGTCACTTCACCATCACCACGCGCTGCGGGGCATCCGCACCTGCAGAAACCTGTGACTTCTGAGCGAGTCCCTTCCTCGCGCACTGCACTGCGCGTGCTGAATGTGGGCTCTTCCCACCAGCAGCTGCCTCTGTGACTCCACCGCGAATCACCACAGACTGCCCTGGGGTGCTCTCTCTAACATCATCTTCCAAATAGCCGTGCGGTGAGAGGAGCGGGACCAGCAGCGTGAGGCAGCCGCTGGCCGCGCGTGCCCAGCAGCAGGGCTCACGTGCTCCGTAACTTTCCACCACGGCCCGTACGAGAGCAATGCTGCCACAGGCCAACGACGTGCGCGAGAGCGGAGCTTCCACGGCATCTCATCGATGTTAAACATAACGACGCGGGATAAGACGTTATTGGAGGACCTGCCGCACTGCGAAGCCCAATGAACAGACTTGTATCCTAGCAACAAACTGAACATATTAGCTGTTCAACATTTCATTGACAGCAACTCATTTGCCTTATAAAGGAGAGTTTTGTAACCAATAAACTTTTCTGATGTTTTTTTTTTAATATTTTGTAAATTCTAAAAAGAAAAGTTCTACTTCTTAGCAGAGAGCTTCTCTTATTCATTCATTGATTTATTCAACACATGTCCCTGCTGTGCACTGAGCCAGCCCAGGGCATATGAAGGCCGGGGGGAAAAACCGAACTCCCAGGTATCCAGGACTCCCGGTCTTTGGTGGGAGACAGACAGAGAGGACAGTGGGATTGTGAGGCGTGAGACCAAAGGGGCCGGTGCACTTCCCACACTGCTGCTCGCTGCACTGCTTTTGCCTTGGTATGATGATAAAAACAAAGACCATCATCACGGCTCCACTTACTGACACTAATGTGCAGCAGCCACTGTGGCTGGCCTGTTGTTACTCCATCACCCCACAATAACCATTTCCTGGTGAGAACACGGAGGCGCCGAGAAGTTCAGGGACTTGCCCAGTGTCACACAGCCAGGTAATGGCAGAACACAGCCCCACCTGGCCCGACGCCAATCCCATTCCTCCGGCAGCGCCCTCTCCTAACCTGGCAGGGGCGGTGGGGTGTATATTCTGCAGTGCATCTCATTCACACGCGGCTCCTCTGTGTCACCTCATTCCTCAGTGATACACACCCATGTGCCGACTCACGTGGGGACAGTATGGCAATGCTAGATGCGCCAGAACTCCTTTCAGGCCACAGAGGCACCCCCTGGAACTTTCCTCCAGCTTCCTCAGAGTTGCTTTCCACCGAAGGTATTTAATGAATTGAGAAAACACTCAGTTTTCCTATCTCCGCTAAAATATTAACCTCTTGGAAACTTTATTCATGCTAAAATAAATAGAGGAAAAGAAAATCGCAGCTTTGGCACTGTATCCCTTCTCAGCCTGGGGTGGAGTGGGCGCGAAACCACAGGAGGCGAGTGGCTGTCCAGGAGCACCGGGCAGCCGAAGCCAGAGAAGGGCCGGGGGCCTCGGCACGTCTCTCAGCACGAACTCAGCCTGGGCGGGTGCAGGGGCAGGTTAGTGCCCTGAAGACATCGGTGTGCATGCTCGCCAATGGCTTCATCTCAAACCCAAGGCTGCCCTGGTGATGAATGTGCCAGCCACTCGCCTCGGCCTCCTGTACCCAGACCACCACGGACATCGTGTGCACCGGCCACCGCTCTAGTTTCCTTTGTGGTGAGTAACTGACACTAAATGCCAGCTCTGCGATGTGGGTGTATTCAGCATGACTAGCTTCATTACACCCATTAGGTAATGTGGCTGCTTCTTAAAAACAAATAAAAAGAGAAATTGAAGAGCAGGCGTCATCACACCCGAATGGACATTTTTCCCATGTCCAGTGTGGACGTGCTGCGGCTAGTGGGTGCTTTCCCATAGCACGTGGCACTATTTCCACAGGCAGGAGTTCTCGTTCATAAGCCGGGAGTTTTAAAGTCTATTTAACACAAGTGACCAGAATATTGCTTTTAATTAAGATTAAAATGTGGCTTAGAAAATTCCTCTAAAAGAATGAAACTTTACGACATCAATTCTAGGCCAAGTTCCTCCTGGAGGAGCGCCCTCATCACTGACGTCGTGTGAACGGAGGCCTGTCTCTTCCTGGCCTCCCACCCGCCCGAGAAGTGACCGCGACATTTCACACTCTTTGCGGAGCAAGAAAAGAAGCAGCATTTTGTTTCAAGTATCTGAAATCTTACTAATAGTTTAGACACTAAAAGCTATTATAGGAAAATTTTGTTATTCTCTCTAAAGGAGAAGGCTTATTGCAAATTGTTCCTTTTATATATTTTTATTTTAAAATCTGTCAATAAAAGAGGAAATACTATTTCA